TGTAATGAACACAGGAGAAGCCATTGCTGAGCTGCAGATTCAGGCTGACCAGCAGAGGGCGGTGAGACCACAGCCCCCCACACCATCCTCTGCAGTTTCCCTCGGGATTTTCTGGAGTCATTTCAGAGCTACAGGGAGTCATGTGCAAATTATCCTTCCATCTCAGAGCTCCTTCTCCCTGAGAAACGCTGAAGTATAGCACTCTCATTAAAAAACAAGAGATAGACCTGTGTGTAAATCCAGGCCTTGTCACTTCATAGCATCATGACCTCATGAAAGCTTCTTCAACTCTCTTTACGCAAAATGGGGATTCCTACTTGGCAGGGCTGTTTTAAAGATGGAAAAAGATCATGTATATAAAGTGGCTGGCTAGGGCTGGCCGGTTAGCTAAGTTGGTTAGAGCGAGGTGCTGATAACACCAAGGTCAATGGTTCTTTTCTCCACACTGGCCAGTGACCAAAACACAAATAGAGTGGCTGGCAGAGTCAATATGCAATAAATGGGAGTTATGTCATTAGAAAGGAAAGAGTAATGCGGTACAGAGCTAAGGTGACCATCTCATCCCAGTTTGTCTGGGACTGTCTCAGTTTTAAAATGGAAACTCCCAAGTCCTGTGAACCCCCCTTAGTCCCCAGTAAACCAGGACAGCCAGTGACCCTATACAGAGCCACGGAGAGGAGGGGAAGGGAACTCCCTGAGAGCAAAGCCTACACCTGTTCACCTTGTTACGCCCCTCAGCACCCAGCACAAAGGAGGCTCTCAGGAACTGGTAAGTGAAGAAAGGAAAAGAAAAAGAAATGGTGAGTGCACAGAATGGGACTGACAGATAACAATCCAAAGCTGCCTGGGAAGAAGTCAATGAGTGAATTTCCCTGACTGCCTCTCCCGTGTTAAGGACGGCCCTGTGTCCCACCATGCCAAAGTCCCCGTGTTGAAGTCTCCTGTGTGGGGTGAAGGAAAGAGCAGCAGAAAGGCTGAGCAGATACAGCTTCTGATCTGAGTTTTTATAGGTTGATCAAATGAAATTCTTTTTTCTGGCAGCTGGCCAGTGTGAACGCTTGACCTTGGTGTTAGGTGGATCTGAACCCTTGATCTTGGTGTTATCAACACCATGCTCTAATCAATTGAGCTAACTGGTCAGCCCTCAAATGAACTTTAAAGACTGGTCTTGCTGTAAGAAACTGAGATATGCCAAATTAAGACGGTCAGCCCTCAAATGAACTTTAAAGACTGGTCTTGCTGTAAGAAACTGAGATATGCCAAATCTTAATTAACAATTTGGGGTCATAGCCCAGAGTCCTTCACAAGAAGTAAAAACTATCTCTAAAGATTGAGAATCACCTGTTGTTAAACAGCTATGCTTCAAAAGACTCATCATCAGCCTCTTTTTTGACTTTTCTTCGTCATACAGCGGTGACTTCACTTTGCTATGCAGCCTCCCAGTAGGACGCAGTACTTGGGATTAAGATGCAAAAGGTTTCCACGATCAATTCTGAGAGCAGACAACTGTCCCTAGTGAAAACCACCATCTTCCCTGCAGCTATTTTTTTTAAGAGAAATGTCAGACTAAGAACTTCCCTCAAAAAGAGAACATGCCACTATTCAGAAAGGAACACTCTCCCCTCCCCAACTCAACATTCTCTTTAGATCCTCCTCCAGCACAAAACAGGGAACTCAGGGGAAAGAGGTGAAACCTTAAGGCTACAACTTCTTGAAAGAAAAAATAAGGAAATTATGGGAAAGATATTTAGAGAAGTAGCAGGATTTGAGGCTAGAAATAAGAAGCTCAGGTGCCCTCAAAAAAGAGGGGGGAGTCTACACACGAAATCAGTTATTTACAGACAAAATGGGGGAATCCCTTGTTAGTCATCCCCTTAAAGAAGTACTGAAGTTATAAGTAATTATTGTGAACAACATTAAAAAAAACACAAAAATCTCAGCATGGAAGGGAAGAAGTTTCTCTAGATCAAGCTATAAAGCAACATCGCTGTTGTGGTTTCGATCAAGGTGAGTAAAAACAGGACAAAGTTCAGCAGCACAAATTGGAAGCCTCATGCATCGCTGATGGGACTGTAAAATGCTACTGCTGCTGCTGCTGCTTTGGAAAACAGTTTGGCAGCTCCTCAAAATGTTAAAATTAAAGTCACCACATAACCAGCAATTCTAATCCTAGGTATAAAACCAAGAGAATCGAAAACATATGTCTAACATAAAAACTTGCACACAAATGATCACAGAAGCGCAACTCACAGTAGTCCCAAAGTGGAAACAACCCAAATGTTCACCAACTGGTGAATGAATAAACAAAATATGATGCATCCATACAATGCAATATACTATTCAGCCTTAAAAAGGACATGCTGACACACTACAAAATGGATGAACCTTGAAAAACGTTATGCTAAGTGAAACAACCCAGATACAAAAGGACACATAGTATATGATTCCACTTATATGAGGTATCTAGAGTAGTTAGGGGCAGAGGGTTGGGGGAATGGAAAATTACTGTTTGATGGATAGAGAGTTTCACATTTTCGGAAGATGGAAATGTTCTGGAGATGGATGATGGTGATGGCTGCACAACAAAGTGATTATGCCACTGAACTATATACACTTAGAAATGGTTAAAATAGTAAATTTTACGTCACATATATTTTACCACAATAAAAAATTAATGAAAAAAAGTGATGAAATACTGATATATGCTACAACATGGATGAACATTAAGCTTCATGAAAGAAGCCAAACACAAAAGGCAGACATTGGGGCCGGCCTGTGGTTCACTCGGGAGAGTGCGGTGCTGATAACACCAAGGCCACGGGTTCGGATCCCATATAGGGATGGCCGGTTGGCTCAATGGCTGAGTGTGGTGCTGACAACACCAAGTCAAGGGTTAAGATCCCCTTACCGGTAATCTTTTTTTTTTAAAAAAAAAAAAAGGCAGATATTGTGTGATTCCATTTATATAAAATGTTCAGAATAGGCAAATCCACAGAGACAGAAGAAGGCAGATCAGAAGTTGGAGGGAGGATGGAAAGGGTAGTGACTTCTAATGGGTATAGGATTTCTTTAGGGGATAATAAAAATGATCTAAATTAAAAAGTGGTGAGGGTTGCATAACTGAATATACTAAAAACCACTGAGTTGTACACTTTAAAAAGCAAAATTTTCTGGTATGTGAATTATATCAGAATAAAGTTATTCTTTTTAAAAAGTTCAAGAGCACAAAATAAATATGAGCAGTTAGACTGCTAAAAGCGCCTACTTCAGGGAAAGGTCTCTGGAGGTGGTCCCATTTCAGAAGCTTCAGGTATGCACAATTCTGGACAGCAGCATGACTCGGCACGGGAGCACCCCCAGAGCCAGCGGCCCCTCCCCCAGCTGGCAGGGCATGCTTATACTTCTGATTCATAAGGTCATCTGAGGCTTCTTCTAGCCACTGGGTGACAAAGTCCAGGGAATCTGAAAAACAAAGCTATGAACACTACTATGACACCTGGGAGTGGTGCCTCTCAGAATGACTTTAGGGTAGATCATTTGGTGGTGTGGCATAGCATAGAGCATAAATTTCAGAATCAAATAGAACTCAGATGAAATTAACCATTTGCCAATTAGTAGCTCAGTGATCTTATGCAAGTCATAACCTTTCTGAATACCAGATTCCTAATACAAAAAAATTCACAACACCCACCTCACAGGGTGTTGTGGGGATTAAACAAGATAATAAATATATAGCACCTAGCCAGGCCTTGCCACCACTAGATATTTAACAAAACTTTGTTCTCTTCTCTCCCATCCTGACCACTGAGTGAGAAGGGGGTGAAAGCTCTGATGACCCCAGCTCTGTGAGATGGCAAAAAACGGTGCCCAGAGACAGATGGGAGGACACACTGGCTAGAGTTTCCTTGTGTAAAGTATCCTCTACACTGATGACAAGGCTTTTCCCTTGTCTAGATCTTAATCGCGTATCAATCTGGTTTACTTTCGGCCTCATGGGAAGTGGCTCTGCCATATGCTTAACATGTAATTCATGGTGTTTGGAGTACTGTTGCAGGTGGGGGGAACCTAAGCCAGCTTTCATCAGCCATCATGCTCCCTCTACTTTTCTAAGCTGAGTGATGCAGCAGGCACTCTGAGGGATATGAGGATCTTGTCTACATTATCTGAACAAAAACTGTGTCTGTCAAGTCCTGGGATGTGTGTTGCAACTCTACCAATGGAGACCTCCTTTAAACCAAGCAGGCAGCCAAGGTTGTGGCTGTAGTCCATTCTTCCTGCCGCAAAAGGATGCACCTCTGGTTCTCTGTCCACACACTGATCACTCAAGCTCTCGGTTCTGACTGCTGGATCATTTGGCTTTGCTCTCCCTTTAGCCTTCTGCAGGCCGCATTCTCTGTGGCCCACCAGCTTTGAAACCTTGGCTTTTATGCTGTGAACAAGCACTAGACTCTGACCAGGGACTGTAGCTATGCTTCCACCCCAGCAGTGAGCCCTTCGCTGCACACTGGCTCCCAGTGCCTGGCTCTAATAATAAGACCCTTCAGCCTATAGAACTGAACCCCTGAGTGCACTTCTGTAGTAGTGCTGGAGGGGCACTACAATACTGATTGAGAATGTAAGCTGTGTAGTCAATCAATTCTGGTCAAAAATCTCTAAAAACTTGTTTCCGACATCTATAAAACATGGTTCAAAAACAATGCCTAGCTCATAGGTTTACTGTGTGAGGATCGTATGTGATAATGCATACACAACCTTCGACACAAGCCTAGTACTGAGTGTGTTAGCCAGTCTTCCTATCTGCTATGACCACTTCTACTCTGTTCTTTCCTGACTCCCCCTGGCCCCCAATGCCATCTCAGACTTCTCTGGGGTGGGATGAATCACATGCTTGGGACACCGAATTTTCTATGCGGTCAAGCAATACAATCTAGCCAGAGACTGCATTTTCATCTTGTCACCAGCAAAGTTAGAGGCTAAACAGAATTCATAATACATTGGATCTGAAGACTGAAATTTTCCCAGAATATCAGCAGCTTATGCAAAGACCAAAAAAAGCAGCCTAGAAATACAACACAATTTTAGATTCTATAGTCATATGTTTTCCTGCAGTTATCTGAGAGGTTCATAAAAATGAGACTTTTCCTGGGGATGAAACCAGAAGATTTATGCACATAGAACAGAAACACAGTGAAATTTTCTGCTATTCTTCACAAGGAGAAGAAAAGCAAATTAACATTCAGAAGAAGTTTGTCATGTTTTTAAAATCAAGACCAATAACATAATTTACCTCAAATTAGTATTTTCATTTAAAAAACCATTTAACTTAGGACTTCATTCTTTTTCATTTCCATTCTAATACCCTCCTCACATTTCTCTTGCTTGTCAATTAAGTTTTCTTTTCAATGTCTAAAAACTCTAGATGTAGTCTTAACATTTTTTGCTTTTCCTTCTTCAAATTAGACTATTCTCATAGTAAATTTTAGTTTTGTTCTGAAAATATCATTACGCAACAAGCTATAGCAACTAAAATGAAAAAACACAACAAAAAATCACCACAAAACATTAAACATACTTGGTTGCTTCTCCAAAATCTCTTGAAACTTCTTCCTTTCATATTCAACTGATTGCTGCATGAGATGTGGCCGAACGCTACTGATGGCAAAGTTCGCCATATCCACTTTCATTAGGTCCAACACAGAAAAAATTGCCCTGAAAGAAAACAGATAAAAGGATTTAGAACTGGGCACTTTTAAAGCAAACATAGTTTTAAAGAAAAGGAAGTGGGCTGATTTGAGATAGTCTTTTCATCTCAGAAAGGGTAACAGAAAAAGTTAAAAACTCAAAAAAAGTTTGAAAATTTTGCAAAATCATGAGAACAGTAGATTAAGAAAAACAAATTTAGAAAACACAAACATTCAAATTATGGTTTGAAAATGAGATGGGGGTGCTCAGTTTCCATGGACTTGGGTTACAGGACACACCCCTGGGTTTCAAGCCATTCCCCAAGGTCTCAGTCCCCTCTTCTCAGTCCTCCCCTAGAGGAAAGTTACTGTTGCTATTTAGACCTATTTTCAGCACCAACCCAGGGAAATTGAGACCTCAGGGGGCTAGCTTATGGAAATCAAGTGGCTGGGCATGCTCAGTACATAAGCGTTATGTAACCCTGGTAGCCAAGCATGCTACCACTGAAGTTTACACTTTAAATGACCTTCCACTAGTGGTGCTAAAGAGCACAGAATATTCTTAAATATGTCTGGTGCAAGTGATAGGATTTGACCAATGAACATGCTCCAAAAAGAGACTAACTGAGCATGTGCAAGACTATGTCACATAACTTGAACCACTCCCCTTAATTGAATATGCATTAGATAGCATGAGTATGCGTTAGATAGTGAAACCATAAAGCTGAATCCCGGCAGAAGGCAGGGTTGTTGCTCACTTTCCTGGGGCTGACCTGCACTTTACTGGCTGAAGTGTGAACACTTTCTTTTGTATCAAACTCACTCTCAGCAAGCAGCTGCTCACTCTCTCCTGCGAGCCTCACTCTGTACTGAACTTTAAGTGTGTATTCTTTACTTTTGTGTTAAACTTGGAGTGGGCCCTGCTCAGTCTCCGGAGCTATGTTGTATTTTCTCTGTCAAGTCTGTTATTTTTTACTTGTTTCATCAAACCTGTTCTCACTTTTTACTGTGACTCTGTTCTTGAATTCCTTACTGTGGCAGAGTCAAGAACCTGGCAAGAGGACAGGGTGGATTGAGGCCAGCTACCACGCTTCCCCAGACCCTTCCTCTGGCATCAAAAGGACTGCAAATTTTTAAACTGCTTTCTGCCCGCTTCTCCCCATCCCTTGTCTCCCAAGCAAATGTAGTTCCCCTCATTGCCCTTCTAGCGCAGAACACATTTCTAGATTCTGGGTCAGCCCTCATGGTAGCCACAGAGGAAGGACAGAGCCCACAACCTCAAGGTTAGGGGCTGGGAGCTCACCATACTGTCTCCCTTCTAACACAGGTTAATTCATTTTCCTAGGAAAGAAAGAAAATGAACTCTCTCCTTTCTCCTTTCCTGTTACCTCAGTATCTCTTAGTTTTGGGGCACGTTTTGTGCTCTAGTTCTGGTGGCATAGTTGCTAGCTCATACTCTGAATGTACCCAATAGGCAACCTGACCTGACCTGATGCCAAGGGTGTCTTGGGTTCTGCCTCTTACACGCCATAACCACTCTCATTACATGTCAAGAGTTGCTAAGTGCCTACTTGCAGGAGGTGGTTAAGAACTCAAGGTACAGGTTTAGTTGTGGCCCTACACAGAAGTAGCAATAGGATCACATGTTCTCTGAAGTCCGCCGATGCCCTTTGGAACTGACTATTCATTATATGACAGAGTGAACTCATTCACACCTAAGGTAATCATGTATGGGAAAGGATACACATTTTGAGGAGTAATTAAATCCTCTGCATTCTGTCCTCATCCCCCGCCCCCACCCCTGCCCACTCTGTCCATCTCACAAATACATGGGCAATCCACTTTTCCTGGAACACATTCTGCCTCTCCTTAGAGAGCATTCCCCAGCAATTCCCCAAATCCACCTACAGGAAACCAGAGGCTATCAGAAACTGCCAACTAGTGGCCCACCGACTAGAAGTAGCCCACAAACATGTTTTGGGCTTGCATGGTATTTTTAAAAACCTGGATTTCCAGCTTTTCTTGAAAAATCAAAAGATCTGGCAACATGGGCCCACATTCCATCATGGCCACATTTAGCTAGAACTAAGAGACACCTCTTTCAGATAGGCATGTTCTCCTCTGTTTGCCACAGTTCCCCCCAGTCCCTTCTCTCTTCACAGCAAGTGTTTGAATTTGCTATACGATATTTCCTCAGAGGACTTTCTTCCAAGGAATTCTGCATTGAACTTGCCTAGAAAGTAAGCTCTTACTATTTTATTTCTAATGTCTAGCACCATGCCCAGCACATAAGAAGTGGTCAGTAAAAGCTTGTTGAATGAATGAACAAATCAATAATTATTTTTAGGAGGTCTTTTCAATGCTCTTTCTAAACCCTGAGGTAACCTTACAATGCAGGGTGTTTTTGTATGTATAAAGAAATGAGAGAGAATATGCCATCTGTTCTCTTTCATAATGATATCAAGAAAGCTGGAAATGAAAAAAAAATTTTTTTTGGCCTATAAAACTTTTGGAAAGCAACTTGGTAACATGCAAGGAGAGTCTTCAAACTATTCATATCCTCTAACACAGTAATCCCATTTTAAGAACCTAACTTTAGGAAATAACCTAAAATACAGAAAAAAGTTTTGTGCACAAAGATGTTCACTGAAGGATTAAGTAGTAAATAGCTATAAATAATCGAATTGTCCCTCTTAGAGAAATAGTTTATTCTACCTATGCAAATGAATATTTTACAGCTGTTGAAAATACTTATGGGGCGTTTTTAAAAATAATATAAGTTGGTTTTAAAAGGGCAACGTAGGAGATCTTTGGAGTGTTGGAATTGTCCAGTATCATGACTATGGTGGGGCATAAATGAACTATACATGTGATAAAAATACATAAAAGTTAATATACATACATATACAAATGAGTACAAATAAAACAGGAAATCAATTTCCTGGCTCTGATATTATACTACGGTTTTGCAAAATGTTACCATTGGGGAGAACTGGATAAAGTGTACTATATTATTTCCTATAACTCCATGTGCATATGCAATTATCTTAATAAAGCTTTCAATTAAAACATAAGTGAAATGACTGGGATATAGTGTTAACAGAAAAAGTCGGGCCTGCAATGCCCACCTGGGGGTGGTCTTAGGTTCAACCGAACATTCAGACTGACAAGACTACCACAGGCCACGTGTTTGGCATCACCTATTCACAAGCATTCCTCTGCAGCAGGAGTTACAGTAATAGTCACGAGCAGACAATTCAGATGTGATGAGACCATACCAGAAGGGTGCTAGGAGCCACCTGGCTTAAAAATCTCATGTCCCACAAGAGCCAACATCTTTTGTAACAACTCTATAGCATGGCTTCTAGGGTCTCCATGACAGAAATGACTGGTGTAAGTTACTCCATTTGGGAAAGTCCAGTACGTGGTGTCCCATCTGGTATTTACATTTCATTATCATTCCTTTCAGTTCAGAAGCAATATGCCAATCAGAGGTCACTTCCTCCTAAGCAGTGTTGCCTAGTACCATTTTGATGCCTAACACCTCTATCTGTGAAAACGAAGCTAAGCTGTTAACCAAAAGTCAAATGCTCAGGCAGCATCATGTCACTCCTTTATCCATATTAGCATAAAAATTATACAAATTTGACCACATTAGATATATTTAAAATTAAATATTCAAAAGACTAAAAGAAGTTCATATGGACTACATATTGGTTAATAGGATTATATTAATGTTAAATTTCTTGAATTTCTTGATTGCATTTTGATTATGTAGCGGAATGTATGCATTCTTAAGAGGTAGTTACTGAAATACTTAAGGGTAAAATGGCACAATGTCTGCCATTAATCCTCAAAAGGTTCAGGGGGAAAAAAGCACACACATGCACACATACATAGACACAAAAAGATAAAGCAAAAGTGACAAAATGTTAAAAACTGGTAGATCTACATGAAGGATATGAATGTTGATTGTACTGTTTTTGCAACTTTTCTGTAGGTTTGAAATTTTTCAAAATAAAATGTTGAGGGAATTTTTTTTTTCCTTTTTGTCTTTTTCGTGACTGGTAACGGGATCGCAACCCTCGGTGTCGCGCCTGCACCGCGCTCAGCCAGTGAGCGGACCGGTCTCTATATGGGATCCGAACCCTCGGCGGGAGCACCGCCGCACTCCCAAGCGTTGCACTCAACCGAGTGCGCCACCGGGCCGGCCCTGAGGGAATTTAACATATAAAAAATATATCAAAATGATAACAGTGATTGTGCCTCTGCAGTGGTAAAATTATGGGTAAATTTCTTCTTTCTACTTTTCTGCATTATACAAACTGCTTTAAAATTTTTTTGAGAGAGGAAAAAAAAGGTTTTTTCAAATGCATGGGTACCTAGATTTCAGGAAGTTTAAAGTTGAAAATAGGCTCTGCATTTTAGGTGCAATGAGTGTGATTAACACATTTCCATACCTGAAAAGGGACACTATTTCCTTAATGTCCTTTAATTTCTTTACTTCCTCATCTCGAGCAGGTGCACACAGTGTCCCCATCATGCCAATAATGAATTCTGCCAGCTTGGAAATGTCCAGGGCCCCATTCTCTGCTTCCTGCTTTATCAGATCCAGATCCAAGACTTCTGTTATTTGGTTTCTCAGTCTGGTGTGACCAGGCAGCAAGAAAGATAAAAGAGTCTACAAAAGAGCATAGCTAAGTTTAATCAGTTCCTTGGTCAGACATCAGTTTTTATATATCTAAAAGAATTTATAACTACCCAAATAAGGGCTTACCTATTGCTACTACTATATAATGCTGTACATATTTTAACCTCTTATTCAACAAATCTACAGAAAAACATATTTATAAATCATTTAGAATAGCGACTTAAGCTCTAGGTAGCAATCAACTGGATACAAAAAATATTGTTAACAATGAAAAAAGGAAAACACATTTATTAATGAAAGCCTGTGAGCCGACCACAGATACCAATTTCCACAGACACATTTCTTCTTTGATACTACTGCTAAAAGCATGGTAAAAACAGTCCTGCCACCTACAGCCTTCTCCATTCCAAAGACTGAATCACTTTTTGGCCACTATAAACTGAATATGTCCATATCTATTAAAATTAATAAACAACCTGTATTTTGTAAATATTTTGTTGTCTTTAAATAATTCTGCTTTTAAAAATATGAACTTTTTCTTTGTTTACAAGAGTAATTTCTTCAGGTTATCATGGCTTGCCTGAAATTTTTATAAAAGGGCATTAAGCCAAAAAATACTCTTCATCCACATCTCAGCAAGTAATTTAACCTTTTTTTTTTTTTTGTCAGCTGCCCAGTACAGGGACCCAAACACATGACCTTGGTGTTGTGAGGCTGGTCTAACCAACTGAGCTTACTGTCTAGCCCGTTAATTTAACTCATTGATCTCTCAATTCCTTTAAAGTCTTCTGGAAGTGTAACACAAGAGATTGAATAAATATTCCTAACACACCAGAAAAGCACCATAATTCACTCTTCACCTCACCTCTTTGATCTCTCCTACAAGTTTGATGGCATGGTCATATGTGGGGGGGTCTTCACTTAGCTGGACACTCAAGCAATCCCAAAAGGCTTTATGTACAATCTCCTTTACTCTCTTCTCCAAGCTGCAGGCAGTGGGGAAAAAAAGGCAAAAAAACCAAATAAAGTATTTGAGCTCAAATCAAATCACTTTCAAAAGCACAGATTCTTTTTTTTTTTTAAAGATGACCAGTAAGGGGATCTTAACCCTTGACTTGGTGTTATTAGCATCACACTCTCCCGAGTGAGCCACGGGCCATCCCTCAAAAGCACAGATTCTATGGGTTAGGGGAAGAAATCTTAAAAATAATTTGGATCAAGGAAAGATTTCCTGGACACACTTAAACTAATGACATATTTTATTTCACTGATTTTTTCTTTTTTTTTTTTTGTCCTTTTTGAGATAAGTATCTCACTGGAAAAAATAACTTTGAACCAATTTGACAGCCAACATTAGTCCAATTAACAGCAAATAGTGCCATATGATTTTTTAAAAATTGGAAAATTCAGAGCTGTTAATTTTTAGTTCTCTGACACCAGCAAGTTTCCTAAGATATATATAATTGAGTAGTTTAAGATTAAACAACTCAGCCTGTAACAGGTAGAAGGACTTTATTTCCTGAAAATATCCAATTCTGTGTGTTATATGGGACAATTTCTTAATTAGGTACAAAACAATAACAACTTATATATAACATCCCATTAAAACCAGTCATTATGGGGGCCGAGCCTGTGGCGCACTCGGGAGAGTGCGGCGCTGGGAGCGCAGCAGCGCTCCCGCTGCGGGTTCGGATCCTATATAGGGCTGACCAGTGCGCTCACAGCCCTCACTGGCTGAGCGTGGTGCAGCCGGTCTCAAAAAGGATAAAAAAAAAAAACAGTCATTATGTCTTGAGAGCAAAACAAGTAATTCCTCATTATTAATGTAAAAAAGTACTATCTTTGCAGACGTAAAAGAAATATCTATAAAGTCATATTTAGAAACCTCCTATGGGAGGGCCGGCCCGGTGGCGCACTGGAGAGTGCGCCGCTTGAGAGCACGGCGGCGCTCCCGCTGAGGGTTCGGATCCCATGTGTAGACCGGTTCCCGCTCACTGGCTGAGCGCAGTGCGGGTGCAGCACCAAGGGTTGTGGTCCCATTGCCGTCCCCGGTACGGGCGGCGTGACACCGAGGGTTGCGATCCCATTACCAGTCAGTAAAAAAGACAAAAAAGGAATTAAAAAAAAAAAAAAGAAACCTCCTATGGGAGACACTAAAGCTTGCCAACCCAGCAGCCACTCCTCCTTTGTTAACAGAATCTCAGTGTTTTTTCAGGGCAGCAATATACTCTGCCTGTGAAAACAAATCATGACTGATCTAATAAGCCCATCACAGCAGTTCCATTCCCTTACACCAGATTTAAGCTTTCCCAGGCTCACTTACAGCTGGGGTAGCATGTGACCAAATTCCACCTAACAAAAAATTAGGGGATTTCTGCTTCGTGACTCCAGGGAAAGATGTTCCTCTCTAACAAAAGGAGAGCCTTAGTCCACCCACCTATTCCCTCTCTCTTGGGATGCTGACGTATGATAGGATACTTGCAGCTGCAGCATCCATGCTGCAACAACGGGGAACAGGCCAAGAGAATCACAGACATACCAATCCAGAGTACTGACATCAGTGAACTGCTGAAAGAAGGGCAACTTCACTCATATTTCCTTTTTTCTAAAATAATTTTTTTTCACATTTTATCATCTCTGAAATTTGGAGCCAAGAGAATCACAGACATACCAATCCAGAGTACTGACATCAGTGAACTGCTGAAAGAAGGGTAACTTCACTCATATTTCCTTTTTTCTAAAATAATTTTTTTTCACATTTTATCATCTCTGAAATTTGGATCTTCCTTAAAATCAATGGCATTTTTACAAGTATAATGGGCAGTGTTTCTTCTTTCTTATGACAATAAATTGAAAAGGCATACCTTAAAATCAACAGAATTTTAGATTCAGTTAAAAAAATATTACGTGCCAGGCACTAGGGATGCAGAGAATAACCCACAGTTCTTCCCTTTGTGGAGTTTACAATCTGAAGAATAAAAGTAAATCAACAATGTAGTATAACATGATCGCTACAAAGAAATGAATGAAACAAGGCAATGAAAACACAAGATGAGCGGCTAAGTCCTATTGAGTAGGAAGAAGCCAACATGAAAGATTTTCAAAGATTTCCACACTCTATTTGCATTTTGAAGGATCAGTGGTCCTGAGATCCACTTTCAGACTCTAGTAATTCATAGTACAGAAATACTTTTTAGTAATAATGTACAAAAGGAAAAACATATTTGAGTATATTGGCATCAACTGAAGGAAACATGGCTGGAACTGCGAACTGGCAGTGTTCTACTATACAAGATAATTCAGTAATCACCTTACCTGTTTTCCGGTAACTCAACTGGTTTAATCCGAAAGTCTCCATTTACTACAATTTCATGTGCTAGAGCCATATTAGTGACTCCTTTTGCTGTCTCTAGAAGTTCTTCTACTGTCACAAATTGAGGAGGACTAGCTGTAACAAAAACCCAGTGTAAGAGAGTCGCTTCTCTAGATTACAATTTCTATTAAAATGAGAAGGCAGTGGTTCTGGTGCCAAGCAATAATTTCAGTTATACCTCTATTAAAAGTTCTGGAATTTTCTAATAGCAAGAAAACTTTACCTATTTCACATTAATTTTTCTTTTAAACCAGAATCCTAAAAGCAGAGATCATTTACAATACTCAGATCACTTGGTTTTTACTAACAATGGTCAATGGAAAATGATTACAGTAATTGAGACTTAGAAAAACTTAAGTTACAAATCATTTTCCCAATAAGCTTAGGGCTTGTTTTCTAACCCTTTTGCCTCCCATCTACCTAAAAGAAAAAAGGAGACATCAGACTTAAGATGTCCTGTTTTGCTCTCATCAGCAGTGCACTTTTGAACTCCACTAACACTATGCCACGAGTGAACCTCCCCAAATTAAAGTAGCATCAAGTCCATTAGCATGCCAGATGCTAAACAATGCTAAAACCACTACCCTGTACAAGATACTAAATGAGAATATGAGAACTCTGAAGCTGACCAGTGAACAGATCAGAAAGTGAGTGACACAAGAATTTTGTAGAATGCAGGCTCACCGAATCAAAAACTTTGAAGAAGACTCCCTCACCCACTGCCCTGTTATCCACGTCCTGTAGATTTTACTTCTGTATCAGCTGCTGTAATAATCTCATAATTGGTCTCTGTGCTTATCTTTGATCAAGTTTGAGATTTATCTTTCAGAAAGAAAGATCTCATATAATTCTCCCCAGGTGTTCTGAACCAAAGAACAAAGGGTAATTCCTACTCTTAAAAAGTCACTGATAGCAGTTCTCAAACTTTAACCTATATCAAAATCAGAAAGAGGACTTGTAAAAACCAATCGGTGGGACCCCCTCTCAGGGTTTCTGATTTAGCAGGTCTGGAGTACAGCCAGAGAATCAGCATTTCTAATGAGTTTCCAGCTGATGCTGATGGTCCCAGAAATCATAGTTTGAGAAGCACTGGCCTAGAAGGTGACCATATTAATTTTATGTGATGGTAATAAGATCTGGGCTTAAAATAAGATAAGTACGGCTGGCCAATTAGCTCAGTTGGTTAGAGCACAGCCTTATAACACCAAGGTCAAGGGTTCAGATCCCTATACTGGCCAGCCACCAAAAGAAAGAAAAAAAATGAGATAACTAATGTCACTGGTTTGCACAGGGGTTAATAGTTATAAAGATCTTAGGTTAGTCATTTCCCTTCTTTTAC